ATACACACAAATCAATAAGACCATCAGGAAAATGATAAAAGAAAACAAAAGAAAGAACCAAGAAATAGAAATAGAAAGAGTCATAGAGAATAACAGGAATATGAAATGCCTAAGACCAACACTAGGAAGATACGAAATAAATAAAATCAAAGACAAGAACGGCGTAGAAACTAATATTAAGGAAGATATCATAAATATCACAAAACTGTTTTATACAGAACTATATCAAACAAAAAGGGAACCACCACAAGAAACCGTAAAACAACTACAAACTAAAATAAAGAATGTAAATTCAGAACTACAACCCGAAATAAGCAAATCGGAAATCTGAAAGAAATGAACAGCAAAGCACCTGAAAAGACGGAGTCACGGCAGAAATGCTAAAATACGGTGAAAAACGGCCATCAATACTCTCCATACCCTCCTAAATAAAATACTGAAAGAAAAGAAAATCCCAGACAACTGGAATGAATCCATTACAATCATCCTTCATAGGAAAGGTGATAGAACAGACTTGAAAAACTATCGACCTATAACACTCCTTAATGTAATTTATAAGCTCTTCACAAAAATTCTCACCACCAGGCTAACAATAAAATTCGATGGTTACCAATCGAAAGAACAGGCCGGCTTCAGAAAGGGTTTCAGTACAAGTGACCACCTATTAACCATGAAAATCCTAATAGAACGAGCCAACGAATATCACATCCCACTATATATTGCATTTATCGACTTCGAAAAGGCTTTTGATAGTGTTGAACATTGGGCAGTAAAGAGCTCATTAATCAATAGCAGAATAGACTACAGATACACAGACCTAATAACCAACATATATAGCGAAGCAACAACAACTATTAAAGTCCATGAGGGAACAAAACCAATACCCGAGGGGTGCGACACTCTTTGATATTTTGTACAATATTAGTTTTTAGAGGATTATCAAGTATTAGGCAGTATTAGTGAATAATATTGGATATTAGTGAATATTACATGATTTTAGTATGGATTATCGGATTATCTTGTATTAGAACAGATTATCCGCGGGATTATCCAATATTAGGAATTAGTCAGTATTATAAGATTTTAGTAACTATTATTGATATTAGCAAGTATTATTAGATATTATTAGGCATAGATAATAATTTTTTTGTATTAGCACGTATTATTTTAATAAAAAACGGAGGTAGGTATAGGGAGTACACAAAAAGATTACGTAATTAAGATTACTGAAATTCTCATGTAGTTTTTGGTCGATTAGGGTTTTGAATTATTAATTTGCATTGATTAAGTATATCTATCTAACACATTCAAAATATTGATCAACTTTAACTGTTGTTAAATGTGTTAAGCAAAAGTATAGTATATTTATTCTGACCTGAAACATGCATTATACGAGGATATTTCAACATCGCATCGCTCTCTCCTATTAATTTCATAAAAAATCTATTGTAAAGTTTCCCTGTACAAAATATAAGCAGTGCGGAAATATCGCTACAGTAGCCCAAAATAATAATTTAGGTGGCCACGCGCCTATAGTTTGAACGAGAGTTTGAATTATTGGGGTGGGCTACTTACGTCTTTCCGGGAAGAATGCTGTTTCATTCCAGGTATTATTTAGTTGTGTGGTTCGATATTGATTATCACCATTTAAAGAAATAAAAATTATATGACGCCTATGTTCTTTATTTGTTTGATGTATGCTGACTAGATGTTTTTTTAGTGTTTCAGTTTGGATTAAAAATACTATACCAGCCCTAAAAAACTTAACATTCTGCTCAAACTCTCTGTATTTTTTCTTTATTGTTTGCATTTCCCATCTCTGTATAAAAAAGGTATCAAACCCGTCTGAAGATATTGGATCGTGAAAAATAAATTTAGACTCTACACGTTGGTATTCTACCTTTTCTGGTCAATAAAACTTATCCAGGGATTGTTTTAAGAATTTCAACCGAATATTTTTATTATTCCGAATTGACTCGGCTTTGCCAATATAGGAGGTGTCATCAATAAATAGCATATTATTTTTCCAATTCCACTGGATTTTGTTCTGAATTAGATTCAAAACTTGCAGTACTAGCTGCGTCATCAATTCCATCTGTCTTCACTAGAATCTGAAAAACCATCAACACTTGATGATTTTTCAGGGGACAATGGGCTATTGCTGCGTTGTCATATCGATAATATATATTTATACATGAAAATTGCAATAAAATTTCCTATGTTCATGTAATAATAAATATTATCGATATGACAACGCAGCAATAGCCCATTGTTCCCTCTGTCTATTATTCAGTAGTCGTAGCTCAAGAACCATGCAACAGACTATAGGTACCATCGTCACCAAAAGTATCTGGGACAAAAGTAATTCATATTAATCTCCTGGACTAAGTCTACTGTCATTCATTTCAATGCATTTAATTCATAATTTGACATCTAAAATCATATAATAGTACCAGAGCTAACATGATGCTGTCCCAGTTACTTTTGGTGACGATGGTATATATTGATTGTTATTTTCAAAATTAGGTTCCGGAACAGTACATAAATAACTATTAAGTGGTACAAAATTATGTTTTTCTTCTAAAGAGAGCAATCCGTTTTTATTTAACTTGAACCAACGACAGAAAACATCAATCTTTTTTGTCAGTGGAAAGTTTACATACTCTGAAGAATAGGTATTCCTGATTCTTTTTAGATCTATTTGATCATCAATAATACGCCGCAAAATTAGAAATGCACCGAACAAGTGCGAACACAATACACACGTGTTCAATAACTTTACTAAGAGTTGTGACTATTGGTGTCCTTGTTTCTTTTGTGGAATAAAGAAAGATACCCATAGACTGGGATTGCAAAAAAAAATCGAAATTTAGTCGATAGATATCTCTTGCCGCAGCAATATTATAAAATTATTAGATATTAGTCCAATATTATTCGATATTATAAAATTAATATGAATTAGTGAACTATTTTGGGATTTGTAGATTAGTTCAAATTATAAGTATTATATAAAATTAGCAGGTATTTTGTAAAAGTCATGAAATATTACCAGTATTAGTCTTGGTATTAGTAGATATTAGTGGATTATCATAGGATTATTGATATTAGTATAGATTATCCGCGATTATCCAAAGGTTGTACAATATATTAGCGAAGTGTCGCACCCCTCGCCAATACCCATAGGAAGAGGTGTCAGACAGGGCGACACAGTATCACCCAAACTTTTCAACCAGGCTCTGGAAGATGTTTTTAAAAAACTAGACTGGGAGGAAAAAGGTATTAAAATATGCGGACAACACTTGAGCAACTTAAGATACGCGGATGATATCGCCCTTATAACTGATAAGAAAGAATAGCTGACAGAAATGCTGGAAGAACTTGACACAGCAGCTAAAAACATAGGTCTCAATATGAACTACGCTAAAACTAAAACAATAACCAACACAGCCGATGACATCATAATCAGAATAGGACAGGAAAAAATAGAACAAGTCGACGAATATATATATCTGGGACAGATTATTAAACTCAGCAAAGAAAACCAAACAGCAGAAATCAAGAGACGAGTTAGATTAGCTTGGGCAGCATTTGGTAAATTAAGCTACATCTTGAAAAATAGAAAATATCCACAATACCTCAAATCCAAAGTTTATAATCAATGTATACTTCCTCTTCTCACCTATGGATCCCAAACATGGACACTTACAAAGTCAAACATGGATAAATAACAAAAGCACAAAGATCAATGGAAAGACAAATGTTAGATGTGAAACTGATAGATAAAAAGAGGAACGAGTGGATAAGAAATAAAACGAGAGTAAGAGACGTTAGAAAGGAGGTAGCAAAATTAAAATGGAAATTCGCAGGTCACAATATCAGACAAAAAGACGACCGATGGAATAAATGTATCTTAAGCTGGAGACCTTGGGATAATAAAAGAAGTAGAGGAAGACCCCAGATGAGGTATGCTGATGACCTGAAGAAGCACGCTGGAACCAGGTGGATGAACATGGCAACAGACAGAGAAGAATGGAGAACACTGGGGGAGGCCTATGTCCAAAGATGGACTGAAGAAGGCTGAATAGATAGATAGATAGAGAATTTAATTGGGGCTTCAATTAGAGCTAAATTAATTTGAAATCGGATAAAAATTAAAGGAGCTGCCTCAGTGTCATTTTTCGAAAAGTTTCAATGTTTGATAAATTTAATTTTGAAACTTCTTAGATACAAAACTGATGGAACTAAATCAAAATTCTAATTAATGGGTTTGTAGAGAATTAAATTGGTTTTAATTGGAGGTCAATTACATTAAAAATTAAAAATTTGTCGAAAATTATAGATATATTTCCATTGCACGAGTTGAATTTTATGAGAGAATTTCATGAATGAATTTAAATTTTTTGTCAAAACACCAGTTCTCGCACCAGTTACTATGCAATTATCCGATAATTTGCACTAGTGCAAATTATCGCGTAATTCCAATCTGATTGGTTCAAATCAACAATCAAAACATATTATTTTATTGTTGTAATGTCAGTTTTGACCGATTTATGAAATTCTCAATGTAATTTTTGACAAATTTTCCATGTTCGATAAATTGAATTTTGAAGCTTCTCAGCTGCAAAACTATTGAAACAAATACATATACAATTTTGTCTAGCTAAGTAAACTATTGATTAAAAAAAAAAATAGAAAATATAGACATTTTTGAAGTTGGCTTGTGATTCTCAATGTTGTAATTGTCACCACTTTTAAAACTTGGGGCTACAATGGACTTAAGAAAGACTCAGTTAATAGCAGCGAGAATCATCTCAATTCCAAAGTTGTAAAAAAATAACTATTTATTTTCAATTAGTTTCCCATGTGTAATGTTTATTTTGTTAATCATAAAACTTCAAATATAACAGTTATTATCGAGGTTTTTATTTACCCCAACGAATGATACCACAATCACTATGTTTCTCATACTACTATCTTAAGTAAATAAATTATTAGCTCACCTTAGTGCTATCTACAGATCCGTGACTCAAAGTCTTTGCGTGATGGGGATGAAAAGGTCGATCGCCCCTTTCCTGCGAACTACCCCCTTCGGTACGGTGTCGAGCAGGCGAAGTACTTCTACTCGAAGTTTTACTGCTAACCGCCTGCTGAGAGGCAGTGACGTGGAGACTATCCATAGCTCCAAGCCTGAAAAAAAAAAAAAAACAAGAAAATTTATTTATATACTATTCAAAGAAACATTCGTTATAGTAGTAGCAAGTGATTCATCTTATAGTAATGCACGACTCGAGAGGAAATGCTTCATAGTAAAACGAATTTACATTAATTGCTGTTGGTTAGCAGTTAAAGGTATTTCAGTATTAAATGTAAAGTTAATGTATCGCTTAGTGTGTATGACTAATATAATATTAATATTTCAAGGAAGCAATGAAAGGAAGCCTAGTTAATTATAGACGTAATTACCTCCATAAACTCATAATAGTTAACTGCATGCTGCCAAAAATACCAGAGTAACTTTATGGGACCACACAAAAGACACAAATAATAACAGCCATCAGGCTAGGCTGACTGACCATTTAGGCCGATAAATATTAGAATGACTAACACATTAGACATGCATCCACCAAAAGTTAATAAGTGGTTGCATGTTGTATAAATTAAATCTAATATTGAAGTTTGAAGAAAAAGGACGATGATCTATTAGTGAATAGATAAGAGGAATGGCAACTAGGATGATTTGAAGACCTTTTACGATAACCCCTTTGTAATTAATATACACTGCCTACCTCAACGAGAGACAGTAACTTAAAACAGGAAATTGATATACTTTGCTGTGCACTTCCAAAAAAACAATGAATTAATTGTTGACAATAAACAAAAGATGGCCTTTTTGTAGGTCAAATAATTTCCTTTAGTTAATGGTAAATATTTTTGTCGAGGACAAATCTAAGTTTACATGCACTTAAAAATCAGCGGGATAGGAGCCTAAAAATACTGTAGAGCTAAATTTATTTTTGTTTCGTCTACTGGACCCAATTTAGATTGTTACCTGTTGCTAACCACTGGTCAATAAATCAATTCATTGAAAGTGATGATGATAATTATTTGGCCAAGAAACGTGACTATGAAGCAAGGCACGATTTCCACTATCTTCAGCAACTTGAGCATCATTTTTTTAATTTTGATTTAGACCATGACTTATGCCCCACCTTACTATAAGATAATTAAAATAAAACTTTCACTCAGGAACAAAAAAAAATTCAGCATGAATGTGTGACGGATTGAACTTGATAAAATATGAAACCATTCCTATTTTTAGTTCTATTGATTATGCGAACATGATTTAGGGATAGTTTTGATATACAACATGCATAATAAGCTCAATTAGCGAGCAACAATAATTGTAATTTTAATGCAATTGCCATGTATGGATGCATAATTTGTAGGAAAAATAATTGAAAAATCTTGTCTGGCAAATTGGTTAATTACATATTTGTATACCTTTGCCCTAGTTTTTGATGTTCACAATATCCAATGCCATCTTATTAACTAAATTAATTGGTCCCTGGATGTGAAACAGAAACAATTAAATTTTACTCACGACTATTATAAAATAATAATTTAAATATGTGCGCTATGATTCAAGACATTATTGTACCTAGATCACCTTGTAATAATTAAGTCTTGAATGGCTAATATATTCCTTAAATTACACAGTACAATACTGAGGATTGCTTGAAGCATTTTATTGATTGCTGTTATTGATAGTCTATTTTTGTTCATGTTAATTCTATATTATTATGCTACACTAAATAAGAGGAAATTTACTTTCCAGGCAAATGTGCAATATCGAGTAAACAGGCATATACATGAGCAAATATGGACAAGTCATAATATTTCTAAGAATTTTTCTTGCCCTCTGGTCAGCTAAAACAGGTCACGTTTACCATTTCTTATCTAAAAAGTGAAATGAATGGTTTCAAGATAACGCAGTGGTCGTTCTGTTATGAAAATATGACTCAAGGTTTTATAAATACACTGCTCCTATCAAAAATGTAAATTTTCCAATTTATTACAAAGACTGCAATGAGTCAATTATGTCAACAAAAATGTGAATGTACTTATTATCAGGTGTCTATCGTTATCATTATCATTATATCAGGTTTGTATTTCTTCACTTCCTTTGTCCTTGATTTAGAATTATTATTAATTACTATGAGAATTTCATACATCTGTCAAAACTGGTATTCCAACAATAAATTGACATGTTTTAATTGTTTATTTGAACTAATCAGATTGTAATTAGGCGATAATTTGCACTAGTGCAAATTATCAGATAATTGCATACTAACTGGTGCGAAAACTGGTGTTTTGACATTTTTTGACAAAAAATTTAAATTTTTGATTTATGAAATTCTCTCATTAAATACAACTCGTGCAATGGAAATATATTTATAATTTTCGACAAATTTGCACTCATGCGTTTTTAACTGAAAAAGGCACTCGTGCACTACGTGCACTCGTGCTCTTTTTCAACTAAAAATGCATTTGGGCAAATTTCCCAAAAATTATCAATAATTTCCATTGCACTAGTTATATTACTATTGATAATCTTCTAATAAGTTAGATTTTTGTGTGTGTTTAAGCCATATTTTAGTGTATTGCTTTGTTTTTCATTATTTTATTCCCTAGATAATATTTGCAATTTGAATTCAGGTTAGATTATGTAAATCTAGATGGATTTCCTGTATAAGCAAAATAATTTCCACTCTCAGAATAAACATTTAAAGTTATGCTGTTTACAACCACCGTTCTATATCCTGTTACATAAATGATGGAAGTGTTTAGGTTTAGCGAGCGAAATATTTTATTTTAGCGAATATAAATTACAAAGTGGCCAAATTGCTCGTTTATTTATATCCTGCTACTTGGTTTTATAGGTGCATTAAATAGGGAGCTGTAAAAAGTTATGTAGATTTTAAGCTGGGATTTTACAAATTTCTTTAATGCTTGATTCGTGAATTTGAATTTATTTAACATTGGTGTTGGAATAAAAGAACATAGGAAAAACTGCAAAAGGACTTATAGTTGTAGATAAATTAGAAATGTTATATGTGATATGAGAGCTTCAACGCATAGAAAACTTTTACTCATCACTTGTGTGAAACACAACATTGTATATTTTAAAACTAAATTAGTGTTATCTACAAATTCTACAATAAAAATATTGTATTGTAGTTGAATTAACTTTAACTTTCACCATGGACTGGTCAAAATGAAGTTTTCACACAACAAAACGTAAGTACATATTTATACCTACCTGAAGAAATGAAAAATTACAAAAAAAAGGTTCAGGATTAGGATTAGGTAGGTTTTAAATGGAAGAGTATCCGGATTTGGAGTTTTTAAGACTGGCCTTAAATATATTGTAAATGTGGTAGAATGTCAGCATTTCATATTTCCTCGCATATTTCTAAAGAATGATATACGTACTTGAGGTAAAAGTAGCTGTTGATTAAGATAATTTTTAAACACATTTTAAATGATAATGTTGACATTATCATTTAAACAGCATGGTGCACGGTTCCTAGGTAGAATAAATTGTTAGAAAGAAATTGGTGGGTGGGCTACCTATAAAAAGTAAAGTTGGCTTTCTAGAAAATATGTACCTACTTGGCTACTTAATTCTGTGATATGTATTATCTTTTTCCTGAAAAACCCTTGAAAAAAAAACTAATTTTCTATGTTCTCAGGTATCCTATCATTTAATCTAATAATCAGTGGTAGCAGGGTTGAGAGGTACTTCAGGTTTTTTAAAATCTTGGTTCTTCAGTTTATAAAAAAAAAAAAATCTGAATTTCACTTGGTTTACTTGTTTTTTTTTTTTTTTTTTTCAAGAAAAAGTGACCATTGTTTTACAAATACATATTAGGAAAAAATCGTGATAGCTCCTACTTTATAATAATAGCTTTGTTCCAACCCAGCAGGAAACCGTGATATTACCGTCAGGATTCTGCGCAAAACCTAAAATTTTTGTGTAGAAACCGAAGTTCGTATACGTATACAGAGTGGATTCGAAACCGTTCTGGTACGGTTTTTTGACGGGCTGGAACAAACCTAATATGTATCTGTATTTGTACGATTTCAATAGTACATATTATATAACGGTATGATTTAGTTAGAAGAATGTATCTTCAATAATCTCTATGAGAACATTATTAGGAGTCTAATATAAGCCACCCAAGAAGCAATAGGAACGAAGGAAAAAAATACCAACAAGAAATACTGGTGGAACGAGGAGATAGAGATATTAGTCCAATAGAAGAAGCAAAAATATATTAAATGGCTAACAACAAAAAATGGAAAAGACCTCAAAGTTTATAAAGACACAAAAAGACAACTAAGAACGTGCATCACTATAGCTAAGAACTCAGCTAAGAACGAGTTATGGAATAAGAAATGTGAAGAAATTAACACCTACATAGGAGAAAGGAAATGCTCAGAGGCATGGAGATTTATATTGAATGTCAAAAACCCAGAAAAGGACAGAGCTAATATTCAGATTATTATACCAGAGCAACGGATAGAACATTACAAGGGTCTATTACAAGAAAGTAGACCGGAATATATATTAGATTCTCCCAGACATATTGAAGTACATGGAGAAGTAGTTGAGATATCTGAAGAAACAGTAAAAAAAACTGTTAAGAATCTTAAGTCAGGTAAAGCTAGCGGCCCCGAAGGGATATACTCAGAAATACTCATCCTCTAGTTGCAATCTATCGTCCCGACTCACCCGTAGAAAGGCAATGGGATAGTCGGGATGATAGGTTGCGACTAGAGGATGAGAATTCCCCACCTGCTAGACATTTGGAAACCCACCTCACATTTGTGGACCTACGAAAAGCATACGATACAGTCCCTCGACAGTCCCAGTATCCAGACCATGGCAGGTATTAGAACACACAAACATCAATCATACCTATATAACGGCACTTAAAAGAACTATATAAAGACTCAAGATCAAGCATTAAGGTAGGTAAAAAACTCACATACACATTTATAGTGAATAAAGAACTACGTCAAAGATGTTGTATCTCTCCTACGCTTTTTAAAATATACGTAGCAGTAGCATTGAAAAATTGGAAGAGGAAGACCCATGGAATGGGTATAGAGATAAATGTTAGGTGCCTGTTTACTCTTCAGTTTGCAGATGAACAGGTCATAGTGGCCAGTGACAAAGAGGACATGCAATATATGATTAGAAAGCTGATAGAAGAGTATAAAGACTGGGTCCTGAGAGTTAATATAAATAAAACAAAATATCTATTATTGTATAGGCACCCAGAACGGAACTTGGAAGTGGACAATGGTCAGGAAATTCTGCAATGTCAAGAATATGAGTATCTAGGTATCACATTCGACAACACCAGAACAGACGTGTAAGAAATAAAAAAGCGAATAGTTAAAGCCTCGGTTAAAGCTAAAAAAGTAATAGGAATATTATGGAGCAAGGAAATAGCAAAGAAGAGAAAATTCAATATGTACGAGACAATGATAAACAGCAGCCTTCTATATGGAGCCGAGACTTGGAGAATTACAGACAGACGAAAGAAAAAAGTGGAAGCAGTTGAAATGGATGCTATTAGAAGATCCATGCGAATCTCACGCAGAATAAGGAACGACAATATAAAACAACAAATGGGAATAGAAGGCACGATAGTTCAGTACATTGAAAGGAAACAACTTACTTGGTATGGACACGTAGAACGAATGCCAAATGACAGGTGGCCCAGAAAAATGCTGCATTGGCAACCTACAGGTAGAAGAAAACGAGGAAGACCAAAACTAGAATGGCAGAAGACCATACAAAAGTCCATGAATGAAAGAAATCTGTCATCAGAGGATTGCGACGATAGAAGAGGATGGAAATTAGGTGTCAGACAACGAATAAATACGTTCTAAATCGACATATATATTATATTATGATTTAGTCAGACTGATTCTCGGACTGATTTTAGCGAGGATTTTAGTATTTTTAAATGTCAATCGAGTGATTTTTCTGATTGAGGAATAATTGGAATGGAAACATGATTTGATTTTGATCAATTGATTCAATTTTTCTCATAGCAGAGTGCACTTGCCAATAAAAGTCCTTTAGTAATGATTTTCGATGGAATGAAATATTAAAAGCTGGAACCAATTTCAAATGATTCCCTATCGTTAAAATGGCCAAAATCCTGAAGGCGTCAAAAAAGTCCTGTATGGGGTGGCTGTACGGTAGAGGGTGAAACGTAAAAATTACCCTCAAATTGATTTTTATTTATTTAAATGTACAAAGAAAAACTGATTTCTTGACATACAGAGTGAGTTTTAAGAATGGAACGTCTAAATTATCTTGAAAACGGCTTGCACGATTTTTATGAATTTTGTTTTGGGAGAGTATTGTAATATGGTAATATTTACATGGTTATCAGATCTTTCGTTTATCGGGAAATATCATGAGAAATTCTGCAGAAAATTTTAGACATATTTCATGTGCAATATACATATCTTCCTATACCTATCTTCTATCTTCAACTGTTTTGGAAATATTGACAGTTGAAAATTGACTTTTTTGCATCTTTGACAGACTGTAAAACCTATGGTTTATTTTTAACCAAGATAGATTTTGGCATTGTCAACTTTGAAACATAAACAATGCCACTAATGCCGCTTATTGGTCGCTATTGTAAAACTGATGTCAACCTGCAGAAACACCTCATTTTGCGACCAATCACGGTCAAGCGTTATTGTTTATGTTTCAAAGTTTTCAATGTCAAAATCTATCTTGAAAAAAAATTAAGTGTAAACTGATTTAGAGCAAAACCGATCATATAATTCTTATCTTATCTTCACAATTTCAGGCTCTGTGAACTCAGGCTGATAGTAATCAGCCCTAATTGGAATAATAAGTAATTGAAAGTGA